ACACAAATAAAGAAGGCTGTCATTGTTTTACCACAACGAAGGTATGATAACTGTTCTGTTGTACAGGCCCATGGTTTATCTTAACAAGATCTGCATGACCTGCATCATATGATTATATTGCGAATAACTTCTGTTCTGCTCTTGTTGCTGTATCCAGTTTGACTTATTCATTACACTGTATTTTCGTTGCAAAATGATTCATTTCACCATTTGGATGACAACTACTGACTTTAAGATATATGTGGTACATGTCAGCTTAAGTGGTGCACCGTTCGGTTTTGGCGTTGAATCAATATTGTGTATAAACGTATATCTATATATAACAATAACAAAGCATGTTTGTATAATATCCTTCCCAAATAATAATTTGGGTATAATCGTACACATGAATTGGCTTAAACTATAAACTCTTGTTACGTTTGAGTTTATTTTATGTATTTATTATTTGTGTAATTTGTAGTTGGGGTTTTATTGAAACGTCATATTGTCCTCGGTCGCTTTATTTTGTGTTCTCTTGTCAATTTATCCCTATTTTGCATATTTATTTGTACTGAGTTAGGGAGTCTGCTTTGGCTATAAAAGCCTTTTGTTTCACGTTGACGGCAGAGAGAGGACGGCAATTAGACGGTAAATTGATAGCAAGGAAACTCCAAATAGACGGTAAACTGATAGCACTATAATTTTTACCAGTATCACTGACTGGTTTATCAGTTTATTAGGAAATGAGGTTTGTTCTTGAACATTGTTAGCTGTCCGGTCTGGTTTGTGTTTTCGTTCCGGCGACGTGTTGGAGAAAGCTGCAAGAAGTCCACGTGTGAGCTGAAACTTTGTACGCTTCGACGGAGATGAAAGAATGAAGATTGACACCACCAGGAAGTCGGGACAAAAGTTCGAAGACGACGGAGTGGCAGGCCAGCACAGTATGAACTATTTGATTTGATTTGATAAGTATTGTTAATTTTGACTGTATGTTCTTTTTGCCGTTGTTAAACGGAAGTCTATATTGGTTGTATGTTACTGCTAGCATTTTTGTTTGAGGTGTGGTGTAGCACACAACGTTATGTGACATTTGAATAGGGCATTGAAAATATACTACCGTACTATCTTGCACACTGCTTGCGTTCGGGCGTTTTATTTGTGATACGAGTCGAGTACTAGCGTCTGAACGTAACACTATATATGATATGCATTATGAATTTGAATTTCTTTCCCTTCCAGCTGTCTGCAAAAAAAAACTATGTTGCCCTATTTACCTCAACTTGACGTTTTGAGTCGCACAGTTTTTAGTCATGGCGTTGATCGAGCAGCACCTCAAAGTGGATAAGTTCAAGCTAAACATAGAACAGGTCTATGGTCAGGTCAGATAATACGTTATGTTTCTCAAATAATGAATTACTCATTATAAGGAAATAAATAATTTGGTTACCACATACAGACTGTACTCGTTTATCTGAGTATGTTGTTCGTATAAAGGTATGAATTGACATAGGAATTACACAGTTCTTTCGTGATACACGGGAGATAGACTTGTATGTACAATTATTAGGTTCCTATCTAACAATAAGATTTCTTTTGTTGTTTATGATAGCGGCAATTTCGATAACAAAAACGGCATAAATCTAGTGACACTGTGTTGTTGTCGATAATTGCTAATGTCGCATACTGTTTTGCAGACTAATTTTACTGTGTTTTTGTTAATTTATAGGAAAGCAGAGTTTCAATAATAAATATAATGTAATAAATGTAAATGTCCCAAATTGCGGAACCAAACCTCGTCACTTAAAAATATAATCTTTCTTGAAAAAAGTTGTGGCCATACATACTGCTTGTGTGACGGCCTGACACTGGTTGATCAAAATTGAAAGTACAGACTTAGAATTGTTAAAACCCATACGTACTGTGTCGCAATACTGATGGATAAATGTATAAATGTAAATGTATTCTACTATTGTAAAAACTTGATATTTTGAATGTCGTACAACCAGAGAATGATATAATGCACCAATTTCTTGGGTTTGGAAGATTATTTTTCGAATAGTGTCTATGTCGTATGGGTTTGACATTCACAAGAAAATAAAGCACTCTCCTGACTTCGACTGCCATCTTGGATTATGTTATGTGAATATAAAAAAACGATAAAAAAGGAAAACAATTTTATTCAAATCTTCAGATTTCAATGGGTTCACGCAAAGTAAATATATTTTTTCTGATGAGCGTGTTGCAATTTGGATATCGTATCCTTTACTCATTGCCTCTCGTCCATTTTGTTCTAAGCATGTTGTGTTTCTGATGAGAACAGTTATATATATATATATATTGTCAGCCTTTATCAGGAAAGGGCAATAATCCAACTTGTACCCCACCAGTAACATTAACCCTTACGCTACCGCTTCTCAATTTAGTTGTATATGCCACTAAGAACACTTATAGTTATTAGGGAACATTAGTAATAGATTTTTTTTTCTGAACACTGTTTGCAAGTAAAAGATTGTTTCTTTGTTCAAAACTTACCACATTTATTAGTAATTTGACTATTTTTTTTCGAACGAGTATGTTCTTCCATGATCGGAGCAAAAATGTTTCAGCATCAAGATCCTGTGTTCCATGAGATGTGTTAATCCATGATAATTCCCGGTAATTAGGTAAGCATATGATTTGCGATCAAATAAAACATGCAGTTTACAATGATACGTGTCAGGTGTCAGGTTATAATAAAGGTCATTGCCAATGTCATTAATCCACCGTTTATACAAAAACACATCAGAAACACATCCTGTGACACCACAATACCTTTGTCTGTGCTTCAGCATTGGATTAGTCAACAAGTCTAACATCTTAATAACGGCCGCTTTGTGACAGGTAAAAGTACCTGTTAAATGACTTAGTTTAACAAATTGTTTCTAAAACAAAACTCCTATAAATGCTTCACATATTTCATATTCACATATTTTATTAGATATACTATGCCCATATATATCATAAAAAAACATGCATTTCTATATAAGAATACATTATATATTATTATTGCTTATATATGTTACATCCTTTGTTGAATATATATTCACTCAATCATGATTCAACACATGACCTACATATAAGTATTGGTCTGCTATTATATGCAAAATACTTAAA